AAAGAAAGAAAGAAAGAAAGAAAGAAAGAAAGAAAGAAAGAAAGAAAGAAAGAAAGAAAGAAAGAAAGAAAGAAAGAAAGAAAACATGAATTAATCTCCAGATTAGACAAGCAAGCAGTGTGTGACATTTTGACCTCCCGGGCATGTTTAAAAAACCAGCTTTTGATGGCCTTTCTGAAACCCAGTCGACTAGAGGCCATCTAGATCTCAGAAGGAATGCTGTTCCAAAGAAGGTGGACAGCAGTTGAAAATGCCCCCCTCCCAGGCCCTGCAGCTGGTAGGATCTAAGCGAAGGGACCTAAAGTGGGCCCTTTCTGCAAGATCTCCCAGGTCAGGCAGAATAAATTAGGAAAAGGTGATCCAAAAGAGATCAGGCTCCTAGGCCAATTCATAGCAGTATCGTTGTCCCTTGTACTAGCCATTGATGGGAAACTCCCTTTTAGAAACAAGGATTGTAAAGATCTAAGGTTTAGAAACAAGTAGAATGAAACACAAATACAGGCATTTCCTCCTTAACCATAGGGGGAGACAAGGCAACTTGGGAATTAGCCTAGAAGCCGAACTGGATCCTGGGCAGCAGTAAGAGGTGCTATATCACACCATGCAGCTGTTCTTCATGGCTCTGATTTTCCTTCTTGCAGCTGGCAGGACAACAACCAATGAAGAGTTAGAAGACATGCTAGAGAGTGGCAAGTTGGCGATTTTCACTGACGATGTATGTATCCAGGGCCTTAGTTGGCTCCCATGTCCTCTTGGGGTTAGCAGCACAGGTAGAATGCAGCTTGGAAAGCATGTGGAGTTGCTGAGCATTTCAAGGATGGGTTTCCTGTGATTGAAAGGTGGCTGCAATAGCAAGGTCTCAAAGAATGTGTAGATGCTATGAATAAGGATGTAAGAATAGCTCTGCTGGATCAGATCAAGGCCCCTCATAGCCCAGTATTTTGTTTCTGCCAGTAGCCAACCATAGGTCTTTCTGGGGTCCTCACAAGCAGGAGATGGAGACATCTCCTCTCCCACCTTCTCCCCTGCAACTGCCATTTGGAGGCATAGTGCCCCTAATCCAGGGGTAGCATTAAATCTCCAAAACCAACAGCCCTTCACTGACCTTTTCTCCATGAGTTTATCCAGTCCTCTTTGAAAGCCGCCCAAATTTGTGGCCTTCACCATGTCTTCTGGTAATGACTCCCACAGGCAAATTACAGGCTGTGTGAAGAAGTGCTTTCTCCTTGTCGGTTCTGTCCACTCATGCTCCTTGGATGACCCCTGTTCTTTGTGTCTGAGGGATGGAAAGAAACCTTTTCCCTGACCACTTTCTCCATCTGATTTGGTGGTTGGAATCCAGTTGCCAGAATCCAAGGAAGCGAGGGAGATCTGGGGGAAGGGAGCAGGGCAGAGATATCCTGTCATTCAGCTACTGGAATGCTCTTATAATAGCATTTTACTGCCTCTCCCCATAGCCATAGCATAAGCAACTTGCTAATCCTTTCTCTTTAAAGCTGTAATTCCCACCTTTAGCTATTTGTAAAAGACACATGTAGTTCTGAACTGGTTCTGTGTCCATGTCAGCTTTCATTGTTCCAAATTGCTGGATGAAGGATGGGCAGATAGAGAGGGTGGTAGGGTGGGGTAGTTGCTGGATTGTTGCTCAGTGCTAGATACTCTCCTCCCTTCTAATCATGTCCACACGATGTGGCTTTCTTCAGATCAAAATGGACTCACAGATGACAAAGCAGGCCCTGAACGAGATCGAAACCCGGCACAACGAGATAATCAAACTGGAAACCAGCATTCGGGAGCTCCATGACATGTTTGTGGACATGGCTATGTTGGTCGAGAGTCAGGTATGGAAGGCAAATGCTGCTGGCAGATGGAGCTTGATGGCAATGTCAGGCTACCTTTCAAGACAGTCTGGACTTTTCAATTTGTTCAGAGGCAGCTGCAAAATGGGGAACAGAGAGCAGAACAAGAGATAAAACCAAACAGTTTCAGAAGCATTCCAAGGGTTCTCTGGTCACTTCTGGTCTCCTAAATACCAGGTTATTCCTTTAAAGTCCTGCGCAATATTGTACCCAGATATCTGCGGGCCAGCACCGAGCTCTGCTTCTCAGGCTGATGCCCCATCTTAGAAGTCAGGTGTTGGCAAATGGCAGGACAGTTTTTGTCATTGATGGTACCCACCAGTGACTTTGGTTTGGCACCAGACAAAAAACCAAAATGATCATCTTTACATTTTTTTATACTTTAAAGAGCCACGGTTCTTTCACTTTACTTAATGTTAACTTTAAAAATTAGATTATGTTAAAGAGCTCTTTAAAGCAGTGTTTCTCAACCTTGACAAGTCTAAAATATGTGGACTTCAACTCCCAGAATTCCCCAACCCGCCACATCTGCTGGGGGAACTTGGGGGGTGTGGGTTTCCAAACATTTAGTTT